AGAAAGTGGACATGATACATAGAAAGTGGACATGATACACAGAAGAGTGGACATGATACGCAGAAAAGTGGACATGATACATAGAAAGTGGACATCTACAAAATGGGAGATTTGCTTACAATGCTCTTTTCTTTTACAAAAAAAATGATCATCACGCGCGATCAGGCCATATGCATGCTTTTCTGCGTCGAGAACAATCCTGAAAATGTTGCTCGTTACGAAGAGAAAATTGCTGCTTTTGGAGAAATTGATATTTGCTACGAAAAGGATCCAAAGAAACCTATTTTAGCCCCTTCAAGCCAAATTCACAAAAATTTATCCACATATCATCCATATCCAGTGTCATCCTCTGAAAAGATGGCTGATTTAGAAAATAGCAAAGTCGTTATAGAAACAAACAAAGAAGTTTAATTTCAAGTTATGTTAATTAAAATAAACAAATCCTGTTTATTTGGATCTATGTACAGGTTCTTTCCTGCAATTAAAAGCTTGCAGTAGCTCTGGGTTACTTATTATTTCGTTTCTTTCGAAAATCGTAACCTCATTTTCCCAAAGAAGACTGTCGACAATGATTTTTTCTAGATTTTCGTGCTCCCTACTAATGTTATTATTCACCATTCCTTATATATTTTAAGTCATATATTACTTTATAAAATTGTGCAGGTCTCTACAGTTTGTTGAGAGTCCAGCAAAGTCAATTACTACAAGGCAAACTTTCTTGTCATACTTCTTCAGATATTCAATCATATCTAAAAAAAATCATAAGCTTTCTTATAGCTATTAAATTGCTACTTACCATTGGTGGTACCTTGTACCCTTGATATACTTTTTAAAATTTTTTGGTTCACGTTTGAATCTCTTGCCTCCATCGAATCTGATGCCTTGCAGCAAGGCGACACGAAAACTGTTTGAACCAAAGATCTCTCATACAGACGGTCAACCATGGCCTGTAATAACCGTATACGAACTTCATCATTTTCAGGACCAGGTGATTTCCTAGCATATCCTATCACCGTGAAGTCATCACCTTTGAGTTTCTTTATATGCTCCTTGTAATTAGGGAGATATCTGGCGATGTTTGAACAAACGCGATCTATAAAATAATAAATGTAAGTGCATCCTCCACTTGACTGCCACATATATCTTACCCATAAACTCTTTATTTAATACATATAGCGTATAATACGTAAGTTTGGAGCCAGAGTTTTCCTTGAGTTTTTTTCTTCGTTCATCGGCTTCAGTAAGCACCAATTTGTGTTTATGGCACCATTTTGTAAAAGACAAGGGAGATTTTTTTTCGAAATAGCGAGTATAGCGTGAGACATTGGCCATTACTTGGTTCATTGTCATTTGTTCTTTTTGGTAAAGGTCATTCTGTGGATCAACTGGCAGGTGTGTTTCGTTTAAAAACTGAATTATATGCGTCTCAGAAGCTGTATTTTAAACAGTGAGTTATTATCCACAATTGTTCATGCAACTCACTTAGGCATGCTGCCGTATTTAATAAGAACTTGTTTTCTGGGAACTTGCTCTGGACGCTTGGAGCATATCTCTTATAAGTGAAAGGATCCCCATTGATTTTTAAAATTGAATTCAAAATAGGCTTCTTTGGATCCTTTTCGTAGCAAATATCAATTTCTCCAAAAGCAGCAATTTTCTCTTCGTAACGAGCAACATTTTCAGGATTGTTCTCGACGCAGAAAAGCATGCATATGGCCTGATCGCGCGTGATGATCATTTTTTTTGTAAAAGAAAAGAGCATTGTAAGCAAATCTCCCATTTTGTAGATGTCCACTTTCTATGTATCATGTCCACTTTTCTGCGTATCATGTCCACTCTTCTGTGTATCATGTCCACTTTCTATGTATCATGTCCACTTTCTGCGTAACATGTCCACTTTCTGCGTAACATGTCCACTCTTCTATGTATCATGTCCAC